CCACGTTATAGGGCAAGACATTTTAATTAATCAATTTAAATAGGCTCCACATCCAGCAATGGAACCCAATACAAGGCTCGAACTCATAACCATGAGATGAAGACCCAAGCTGAAATCAAGAGTTGAATGCTTAACCCACTGAGCCACTCTGGTGTCCCTGGGGCAAGACATTTTAGACAAAGTCCACAATGTGAAGCTGCAGAGCCTGTGTAGTTTTAAAAGCCTGGAAAATGCCAGATTATCTGAATGCAGGGTTTGTATTAGGAAGGTGATAAAGCTGAGGAAGATTAATGCTAGATTGTCCTGGTCCTTGAAAGTTGACAAGAGGTTTAGTCTTACTTGAGACAAGAAGGAGAATTTTTAGCAACCAAATATGAAGGATTAGAGTTAATGTTTAAAAAAGATGAATTTGGCAACTGCATTCAGAAATGTCTGAGATGGAGAGCCTGGAGCAGAATTTCTGAAAGCATGATCTGTAACCCCATCTTTGATCTAATCACTTGGAGTGTTTTCTGCCTGGGCCTCATGGACATTACATTCCCTAGCTCTGGGGTGAGGTCCTGGAGCAACATGAAATAAATTATCCAGTACGTGAAATTTTCTGTACACAAAAGCTATCTAAAACTGGCTTAGAGACAAGACCAATGAGGAGGTATATTAGTTATCCATTGCTATGTAACAGATTTCTTCAAATTTAGTAGCTTAATGCAACATACATTTAGTATCTCAATGTTATAGGTCAAAAATTGGAGAGTAGCTTAATTAGGTGGTTGCATGAATTTGCACTGAAGCTATAAGCCAATGCAGCAGTCATCAAAAGGCTTGACTAGGGCTGGAGGATTCACTTCCAAATTCATTCTGTGCCTGTTGGCAGGAGTCCTCAGCTCCTCCCCAAGGGTTTGCTCATGATGTAGCAGTTGGCTTCCTTTAGAGTGAAAGTTCCGAGAGAGAGAAATAGAGAGAAAGACAGACAGACAGACAAACAAAAATAAGCTATAAGATCTTTTTAAAAATTATTTCATTTTATTTTTTAAATTTCAACTTTAATTTTATTCCATTTTATTTTATTTTATTTCTTTTCAGTGTTTCAGCATTTGAAATGGATAAAAGACCTCAATGTGAGGCAGGAATCTATCAAAATCCTAGAAGAGAACATAGGCAGTAATCTCTTCGACACTGGCGCAGCAACTTCTTTCAAGATATGTCTCCAAAGGCAAAGGAAACAAAACCAAAATGAACTTTTGGGACTTCATCAAGATCAAAAGCTTCTGCACAGCAAAGGAAACAGTCAACAAAACAAAGAGGCAACCCACAGAATGGGAGAAGATATTCACAAATGACAGTACAGACAAAGGCCTGATATCCAAGATCTATAAAGAACTTCTCAAACTCAACCCTCAGAAAAAAGATAATCACGCCCCAAAAAATGGACAGAAGACATGAACAGACACATCTCCAAAGAAGACATACAAATGGCTAACAGACACATGGAAAAATGTTCATCATCATTAGCCATCGGAGAGATTCAAATCAAAACCACAATGAGATACCTTACACCAGTTAAAATGGCCAAAATCAACAAGGCAAGAAACAACAAGTGTTGGAGAGGGTGTGGAGAAAGGGAAATCCTCTTACACTGTTGATGGGAATCAAGTTGGTGCAGTCACTTTGGAAAACAGTGTGAAGATTCCTTAAGAAAGTAAAAATAGGGGCGCCTGGGTGGCTCAGTGGGTTAAAGCCTCTGCCTTCAGCTCAGGTCATGATCCCAAGGTCCTGGGATCGAGCCCCACATCGGGCTCTCTGCTCAGCGGGGAGCCTGCTTCCTCTCTCTCTGCCTGCTTCTTTGCCTACTTGTGATCTCTGTCTGTCAAATAAATAAATAAAATCTTAAAAAAAAAAAAGAAAGTAAAGTAAAAATAGAGCTACCCTACGACTCTGCAATTGCACTAGTGGGTATTTACCCCAAAGATACTGATGTAGTGAAAAGAAGGGCCATCTGTACCCCAATGTTCATAGCAGCAATGGCCACAGTCACCAAACTGTGGAAAGAACCAAGATGCCCTTCAACAGACGAATGGATAAGAAAGATGTGCTCCATATACACTATGGAGTATTATGCCTCCATCAGAAAGGGATGAATACCCAACTTTTGTTATTAACATGGACAGGACTGGAAGAGATTATGCTGAGTGAAATAAGTCAAGCAGAAAGAGTCAGTTATCATATGGTTTCACTCACTTGTGGAGCATAAGGAATAACACAGAGGACATTGGGAGATGGAAAGGAGAAGTGAGTTGTGGGAAATTGGAGGGGGAGATGAACCATGAGTGACTGTGGACTCTGAGAAACAAACTTGAGGGTTTTGGAGAGGAGGGAGGTGGGGGGTTGGGTAAGCCTGGTGGTGGTGCATAATCAAGTTTTATTTTTAAATGTTAAACTTACTACAGACTGAACAAGAAAGATCAAGTATGATTCCTTTAAACATGCAATTTTTGAAATTAGAAAATTCTGGCTTAAAACTAGTATTTTTTTTTAGCTTGGAGGACAAGGGGAGATGGAGAGGAGAAGGGAGTTGAGGGAAATTGGAAGAGGAGGTGAACCATGAGAGACTATGGACTCTGAAAAACAATCTGAGGGTTTTGAAGGGGCGGGGGGGTGGGAGGTTGGGGGAACCAGGTGGTGGGTATTAGAGAGGGCACAGATTGCATGGAGCACTGGGTGTGGTGCAAAAACAATGAATACTCTTATGCTGAAAAGAAATTTAAAAAAAAAAGAGTTAAAAAAAAACAAACTACTATTTTTTAAGTTGCAAAAACATTTCATGAAGATGTTGACCATTTCAAATATTGAATAAGATCTTCTCTCTCACTCTTTTTTTCCTTAAGATTTTATTTATTTATTTGAGAGAGAGAGAGAGAGAGGTCACACACAGGTAGAGGGAGCTGCATACTCCCTGCTGAGCAAGGAGCCAGATTCAGAACTCGATGGGACTAGATCCCAGGAACCTGAGATCATGACCTGAGCTGAAGGGAGTTGATTAACTGACTATGCCACCCAGGCATCCCTCTCTCACTTTTTTTTTTTTTTAAGACCAGCAAAGACCAGGAATATATTTCTTTGGGTTCTCCGAGAGAAATTCTTTGGTTACTTTGGAAATTCCCAAAAGAAGTTCTTTGGTTTCCTCTCCCCAGACAACACCTTTGTTTTTGTTATCACAGAATAAGAAAATCCTGGTGTTTGACCTATTTTTCACCCAGAAAGACCCCAGAGATTTGGACCAGTCCTATGTTTTCCACTTTTTTCCACTGTGTGGCACTGAGCACATTTTTGAATAAAGATCTTTTTGTCTGCTTCAGCATCTCCCATTTTGCTCACACGGTCAACAGCTCTGCCCACTGCCTACCTGGAGAACATTTAGCCGTCACCCAGGCAACACGTGCTACAAGTCTGAGGCTGGTGGTCGCCCAGTAGTGCCTCAAAGACCTGTGCTGGAGGCCCAGCCTGGCATGAATTTACAGGTCTTTTATAAGCCAATCTCGGAAGTGACATATGAGGAGGTAGGGATGAATCACTTAGGTTAAGTTGGAGTCTAGGTGCCATAGAAAGCAAACCCCAAGGTCTGAGTGTGAAGTTGTAACTTGGGAATCACAGCATATGATGTGAAATAATATAAGCTAATATGTTTGAACACTCACCACATCCAGGAATTATTCTCAGCACTTTACATGAATATCTCATTTAATCCTCAAAACAACTTCATTGTTATTATCCAGAAGGGAAAACTGAAGTATGAGAGGCTAGCAGCAAAGTGGGAACACTGCTATAAAGAAGGGATTACCAAGACATGAACAGAATTTGAGTGTGGAGGAAGGTAATTGGCTGTGACCAGTGTCATATGGAAATTTTACTGGCTGATGAACCACCCTTTATAGTTCTCCAATGAACTCAATCCATGCAGTGTTAGGATGCATTATCGGGGGCCACAGCAGCTACTCAGGGGAAATGACAATCCAGCCAAACGTACCATAGGCCATTCATTTAATAAGCACTGGGAACAACCTAAACCAGAAATTCTCCCCTGATAAGATCCCCAGAATGGTTCCTAAATAGCTTGGTCTCAGGGACTCATCTCTGCCCCCAAGGCTCTTTCTAACTTTTGAGTTGCTTGTGCAGTCTGGAGAGGTTAAGAATAAGAAAGTTTCATTCTTGAAGGAAGCAAATCAGACCCCCGAATTTATGAAGCATACTGTGGAGAGGGATACCGAACGCTCACTCTTTATTACATTTCTCCCCAACATGTGCAACCTGGGGGTTCCCCTGAGCAGGCTGTTTTTCTGCACACATTCTGAATGTTCCTCCACAACGGAAAACACCCTCCAGTGTTTCTACTCTGCTTCTTGGTCAGCTCCTCCCCTCAGGCACCACCCCAACCTGTTCTTGCTGCAAGTCACAAGATCCCTTTACCTTCCTTTCTTTTCATTTTTCCCTCGGTCTCTGTTGTTCTCAGTCTCCATCTTTCCAGCCCGTTGCCTCCTAGGCCCCGTCCTACAAAGCCACACCTGTACTGACAAGTGCCTGAGTGTCTGCTAAATTAATGTCAACAAAAGAAGGAAAAAAGTGAGCCCCAGATACCCGAGAGGTGAGCTGCCTGGGCGCGCGGGGACTCCGTGTAACCGAGAAGGGCCTCCCCGCCCGCGCAGGCCCACCCCTTGCAGGATACCTGGAGCTCTCAAGTGAAGGGGCCGGGCCGCTGACATTAATAAGCTCCGCAGGCCCCGAGATGGCGCGACAAGCCTTCCCAAACTGCAGACGGGGCAGTGGCCTTGCGACCTCCGACCACCCGAGGCCCGGGGCGGCGGGGGCTCAGCCGGGCCGGGCCGCGGCGGGACGCAGCAGGCCGCACCGCCTCGCCGCCGTCTGGCCCTGGAGCGTCTCCAGGTGCCCGGGTGGGGCCGCGAGCGCCCAGTCAGCCACTCCGGCATGCGGGCCGCGGGCGGGGCGGCGCGGGCGGGCCGGGGCTGAGGGACACTGTTGGCCAACATCTCCGCCGGGGTGTTTGTCCGCCTGCCCGTGCCGCTCGCCGGCGCCTCTGCCTGGCCCGCCCGCCCCTCCTTCCCCGACAGCTTCTAGCGGCCCAAGTGGACGTGGTGTTGCTTCGGTCCCCCTCCGAGGGGAGCGCAGGGCCCTGCACGGGTAGGTGCCTGGGGAGGGGACGGGGGGCAGAGAGCGGGGGCAGAACACGGGGTGTGGGGGGGGCTGGAGGGGGCGCGCCGAAGGCGCGGCGGTGAGGGGGGCTGGGGGAGGCCGCCACGAGCCAGTCCCGGCCTGCACGCGCCCCCCAGGACCCCCTCCGCGCGGCCCGGCGGGCGACCGGTGTCCGGTGTCGGTGTCCGGTGTCTGAGCCGCGGCGGGTGAGCGGCGGGGGTCCCCGGAGGGAGGGCCGCGGCGCACTCGGGAGGTCCGGGGGCAATTGTGGGGCGCCGGGAGGGCCCCCGTGTGCCTGAGGGGCGCGCGCGTCGCTGAGCCGGGGCGGGCCGGAGGCGGCCGCGTGGAGCAGTGGGGCTGGCCCAGGACTTCCGAGCTCCGGCAGGACGGCCTCGGCGCCCCGCGGGTCTCGCGTCCGTCGCGGCCTCCGGCGCCCGCACGCCCGTCCCCCGCCGGCCCGCTACTGGTGCCCCGGCCTGCGCCCCGCAGCGACTGCAGCCACGGACCGGCGCTCGCACACACGTGGGGTAGGGCCGTGCGGACCTCCCTAGCGCCAGACCTGCCGGGGAGGCCCGGGAGCCGGTTTCCCAGCGCGCGGGCGCCAGGGCTGCCCTGTGGGTTCAGGCGCCGCGGGCGGGGCCGGCTTCGGGGCGGCGCATCGCCGCCCGCCCGCGCGCTAGACGGCGGACACCGACGGTAGCCCCAGGTCCCCCGGCGACGGTCTTCTTCAGCCAAGCGGGTGTCTCTGCCCGCCCCTGCCCTCGGGGTTCAAGCGGGCGCCTGGAGGGGTGGGCGTGGAGATGCCAGTTCGTCGGTTTTCTCCTTCTCATTCCCTCCTCAGGGGTCACAGGGCAGAAGCAGGGGCACCTCTCTCTAAACTTGGGCTCCGCGGCTCCTGAAAAGTTTTTTGTTTTGTTTTAAAGATTTTATTTATTTCTTTGAGAGAGAGAGCATGAGAGGGGAGAAGGGCAGAGGGAGAAGCGGACTCCCCATGGCGCTGGGAGCCAGACGTGGAGTCGATCCTGGGAGTCCCGGATCACGACCTGAGCTGAAGGCAGTTGCTTCACCCACTGAGCCACCCAGGCGCCCCTGTTTTGTTTTTTAAAGTAAAACTCTACCCCCAGGTCCGCTCGAACTCAGGACAGAGATCAAGAGCGGAGCGCTCTCCGGATTGGGCCGGCTAGGCACCCCTCTAAAAGGCTTCTGATTGCCTGCTTAATAGAAGCGACTTGAAGCTTTTAAAAGTGAATAATCATTTAGTGGATTTAAATCCGTGAAAGTCATATGTGGGCATAGATTTGGCAAATGAGTGGGGTTTTCTAGATAAATCCGAATGTGCAGTAACTTCAAATTTCTGAAGAATCGTATATATGTACGAAACTTAGTACCAAATTGTGTCACTTCTGTTAATTCATTTTATCCTCAAAAGTAATCCTTTTGCAGATAAACTTTATAAGCTAAAGTTGAACGAGATAACTGAAAGTCTGAAAATAGCTGGCCATTTTAAAAGAAGTAGGATTCAAACTATATTCGGTTTTTTTTAAGATTATTAATTAATTTATTTATTTATTTGTTTGTTTATTTGGGAGAGAGCAAGCCAGTGGGGGTAAGGAGCAGATGGAGGGGGACAAGCGGACTCCAAGGTCAGTGAGGAGCCAGAGGCAGGGCTCCATCCCACCACCTTGAGATCCTGACCTGAGCCAAACTAAGAGTGGGATGCTTAACCAACTGAGGCACCCAAGCATCCCCAAATTATATTCTTAACATTAAAGTCTTACTGTCCATATCATGTTACTGCTATGATTTAGGCTTTATCTCTGGCTCCGCCTGTTCAGGGTCTCAATCATTAAAAGCACAATTTTTATTTTGTTGAATAGGGCTATGGAAGATGTGAGAGGCCAAATCTGTGGTATTCTGGAAAACAACTGATCCTATCACCCTTTAGAAATTCATTTTTGGAATAAATAGCAGATGTGGGCTTGTTGTTTGTCATTTCTCTTTTTCGAGTAAGGTACTGTATACAACAAGAAAACCGAGTTAGCTTAGCTTAGCTTTTTTTTTTTTTTTTTTTTTGGATCTTGAATAACTGGAATTTTGCTGCACTCAGTTTGTTAGATGGGGAAAGTCATTCCAAGTTTGAGTCAGTGTCAGCAGCTGTCCTGTCAGGGAGTGAAAGTGGGAAAAGCCCAAGTTCGTTTCCTTATTTCTATTTCCTCTACCCTTGCTGCACTTGTCTCTGCACCTTCACTAAGGCTATATGACAGTCTTCAAATTACAAAGATGTACAGTGCAGTCCCTCATTTCATAGACAAGAAAACAGAGTAGTGAAATGATAGCTGAAAGTCATACAGCTCTTGAGAAGCCCGCGCTGGGGTCCTTGCTGGGTGTCCTGTGAGCAGCACTCTGTGCTGTTTGAGTTTTCTGTCTGAGAGCCTGAGGAAGGAGTTAATTCACACCCGCTGGGCATCAACAGCCTTAGAATGGCATGCACACTATTCAGCCACCTGACCTCAAAGTAGTTGCCAGCTGAGCCCCCAGGTACTCTGAGGACACAGGGAAGCCAGTGTCTTTCCTTCAAGATCCAGTAGTTAATGTAATGCTAAAAATCCATGTTTGTTGAAAAGGCAAAACAAACCCAAATTAAAATTGTGAACGAGCTTGAGTATCTCATCACAGAGGTGCCATGGAACCCTTCACACCTGTGAGAGGCTGTACCATTCGTGCAACTCCTAGCAGCTCTGAGAAGGGAAACTGAGAACACGAAGTCCTGATGAATAAAGTGGGCAAACAACATCCATGCCTGGGCCGCCATGACAGTTCCCTGCTGCCCTTCCTGCCGAGGTTTTTTCAATGACCTGGCCTCCCCTCAGCTTTCCTGCAGTTCCCTAGGTGAGGCTTCTGCCGCTCAGAGGCATTATGTCACGCACCTTCCAGTCAGCATTGATGTTGCTGCCAAAATGTGCAGGTCTTCTTTCTGAAATTTCACCTGTGGTACCACATCCTGACGATGCGCTGATTCCAGGCTTACAAAGAAACCCCCCTATACTAGTGGAGTACGGGAGAGCAGACTTAGAGCCAGACTGCCCAGCTCAGCCACTTTCCGTCTTCTTCATCTGTGAGACGGGGGTAGGGAGGAACTGAATCCTAAGAGGGACTGTGAAAAGTAAATGAGTTAAAACACACAAGGTGCTGAAGGTAGCGGCTGGCTGGCGCAGCATGTGTAAGCTCTCATTGTCAGTACTGGGGGTGGAGAAAAGGGGAACAATGGGAATTCGGCACTCTCGGGCTTTGAGTGTTTAGGCCACACCATCGCTGTTGCTAAGATTCACCCCACTCAAAATGGGGAACAGAACACAAAGCCTCAGGCTTCACTGAGTTCCTCCTTTTCTACCGTGTTTGATTTTTGTTCAAGTCAATCACTGGAGGCATGGAATGTGCCAACATAAGGACATTTACTGGAACATCAAGGAGTCATTCACCTTGGTTTTTTACCGCTTCATCTCAGAGCACTGGAGTCTAGTGGGCAGAGGAACCACGTCCTCGCTGTAGTTCCTGTGAAGACGAGAGTCTGGCAGACTCTTCTCTGGTGTAGATTTAGTCGGCCCTGCCCCTCAAGAAGCTTGCTGGAACCCAGGAGTCCAAAAAAAAGCATTACAGGACATCAGTTCTTTGGCTGGCATACTAAGCAAATACAAAAGTAGGAAGGGAGTGTAGGAGGGACATGACTGAGTTAGAGTCAAATACTGCTTTTAATTGTTTTTAAAACTTTTTTTTTTTCTTTTAATTGTTTTAGATTGGGGAGGGGCAAAGGGAAAGGGAGAGAGAGAATATTAAGCAGGCTCCATCCTCAGTGCGGAGCCCTATGTGGGGCTCGATCTCACAATTCTGAGATCATGACCTGAGCAGAAATCAAGAGTCCAACACTTAACCAACAGAGCCACCCAGGCACCCCTAAAATTTTTCTCTAAATACTGTGTTCCATTTGAGTTCCAGTAGTTTGAATGCTGCGGGAGATTATAGGATGCAATTAGTAAGAATAGTTGTAGCCTCAATAAAGGTCCCAGCTACACAATGGATAGTGAGTTTAACTATGTGCTGTGTATGCAGACATTCTGGGGGACCCCAATTGTTCAACACGCTTGTGTAAATGAAGGAACAGCTTTGCAGGGAAGAAGAGGGAAAGCTGACTCCCAGGGAACTTTACCATCTGACCCATGGGAATGACAGGGTGAAGGAACTAAAAGCAGCCATGGTATGACTAAGTGATAGTCTGAAGTTTATGAGTGTTTGCACTGAACTTGGCCAAACAGGTATTTGAGAGGTATGGTCAGGTGGTGAGATTATTTGAGGCATGTGAGCACCAATTTACTAGTCAACTTCTTAAACATAGGTGATCCTGAAAAGTCTCAGTAAGCAAGCTTTTTTGTGTATTGAAAAAAAATTAAAAGTTTTAAAACAAATAAACCAAACAGAAATGCACAAATTAGAGGAAACCCCAGTGGAATTGTCCCCCTCCCCCAACCACTGTGAACCCACTTGTGAGTGCATGAGTCTGTGGCTTCTTGTTAAAGGGGTCCTCTTAGGAACTCCTTTATAAAGCAGGGATCCTTTGTAACACACCTAGTTTCCTCTTTATTCCCCCAGTTTTTCTGGTATGTAAATTTAGCTTTTATTAAATTAGATAGATAGAACAGGTACATTTAAAACCTGGTGACTTTCCAGAGTGTACACGGTTGTTTTCTCCTGCACCTACACTGTTCTCATGGTTCTGGAAGGTCATCTGGAAATTTCCTTGTCCTTCTGTGAAGATGAAGTACATGATTGTGTTTATTTAGTGCTGCTTTTAAGGGGAAATGGGAAGACTGCCTTGTGGTCTAATTTCTATTCTTTTTCCTTCCTTGAGGATGGCCCCATTTTGGTTTGGTTTGGGGTAGGTAATTCTGTGAAATCTCAAAAACAGTATTTTCTTTTGAAATAAGTTGTTTGGAGAGAACCTTTTAATTTCTTCCTGTGCCTCTTTTTTCTTTTATCCTTTTCTCAGCCATACAGTTGGTGGTTAGGCTCTGAAGTAATAATATGTTTGCTTAGTTGGGAGAAGTCCAAACCTCTGTTAATTTTTTTTGTTTCCCTGAGACTGACCTGTAAAAGTTAGGGTTTGTTTTGTTTTGTTGATAAAGTGTCTGGAAATTATGGGATGGGGTTACACAAACTCTTTAACAAAGCATGCCTCAGCTTTCTTCTCCTTTCACCTGAAATGAAAAGCAATACTGTATTTCCTCCAAGCTTAATTCACGAGCCTGCCCCTGCCTGGCGTCTACACATTTTAACGCTGCCTGCTTTCTGCCGGTTGCCCTTTGCAGGTTCACGAACAGCATTGTGAACAGTATCTTTGGTACCAGGAACCAAGAGCCAGTTCTCGGAATTGTCGTCGCAGTCACTAGGATTGCTGCGAGTCTCTGGGAAGGCCTGTGGGTGCGTCCAGGTGCCAGGCCAGGGGAGGCACACGTGGAAGGCATTTTCAAGAACTTTTGCCACAGGTGTAAAAGACTCCAGGCCTGCAAAGATGCTGAAACAGATACTATCAGAGATGTACATAGATCCCGATCTGCTGGCAGAGCTCAGCGAAGAACAGAAACAGATCCTGTTCTTCAAGATGAGGGAGGAACAGATCCGCCGATGGAAAGAAAGAGAAGCAGCAATGGAAAAAAAGGAATCCTTGCCAGTGACATCCAGGCCGAAGAAAGGTAAACTTACCTGAGTCTCTTCCGTGAATGTGTTAGTAACGTGGCTCCTGGCTTGTTTTAACAGTTCTCACTCGTCAGAAACAAGTCAGGGGCAAGTTCCAGTTTGGTAGAAGGACCCTAAATGTTGTTGAAGTTCTAACAGTGTAATTTGTCAGCTTGAAGTTTATACTTACGTGCACATACCCACACGTGCACAGCATTTGCCATGAACCTGCGTAGCTGTAAGCAGATCTCCTACTTGAAACCAGACTGACCTTAAGCTGAAGTAAAAAGTCACCTGTATGGTTTGATCTGAGGGGTCCTAAGGAAGGGCTTCTCTCCCACTTATGGTCACTGGGGTCTGTATCCTGTTAGCAGCATACGAAGGCATTATATCAGGATTCTTACAGCAATTATGTTTACATTTCTTAGACTTTCAGAGATTTTTCTTTGTGTTATCATTTCTTAGGAAAACTCGCTCTTAAAATGTAAATACTGCTGTGGGGGAGGGGGAGTCATACTACACATTTTTTTTTAAGTAATCTCTGTGCCCAGCATGGGGCTCAAACTCATGGCCCCGACGTCAGGAGTCACGGGCTTCACCGACTGGGCCAGCCAGGCACCTCCATACTACACATTTTTTAATGTGAGTTAATTTTTCAGCTGTCTTTATTTCTGACCCAAGGAACCCCTGGTAGCTTGAGAGATCCTTTTGAGACCATGAGCAAGGAATTCTTGTACGTCAAGACTTGAAGCATATACACACGCAGACGTAGAAAAGCACACAGTAACCACCTCTGCTCTTTGCCCTCCCCTAGCACAAATTCTGTCATGGATGAATACCTAAGTTGTTTAAAAAAAAAAAAAAAAACAGTTTTTCAGGGTCACTTGCAGAGGCATTCAAGACTAATTTCTCCTCATTTTTCATTAAGCCAGGAAACATAAAATGTGATAAAACCATTCAGGGTTTCGGAGATGGAGAAAGTGAATTTCACTTGCATGCTGGTATACACAGACTCAAAACAGAAGTCAGTTTAGTGACCTTTACTTTATACTCCCTTTATTTGAAACCTTTCTAAGTAAGCCTTTATAATGATATGGAAATAAATATGACTATTGCATTTATTGTTATCAATAATAGCTATTTATTAGAAACATGTTTTGTCAGACACTACACAAAGCACTTTTATATACAGTAGGTCTTATCTTCTCAAAACGTCTGCAAAGTTGGTATTGTCTGTTTTATAGGTGGTGAAACTTAGAGAAGTTAAGTAATATATGCAAAATCACACGACCAGTAGGTACCCAGATTTACTGGATTTCACAGACCTGAAATAGACTTTTTACTTCAGTAAGTAACATGTCCAAATGGAAGCACGGCCCTTTTATCTTTCTTAACTGGCTTATACATCTCCCTGCATTGTTGAGCCAGAGTTTATCAGATAGAGCTGGACCCCTCTGGGCACCATTGTTCATTGTGAAGAGAATACATTGATGTGTTGGGTAACTTTGGGGCTGTGAGAGCTGAAGGGTTCTTGCCCCTAATGTCAGTGGCCCAAACACTTTGTAAGACTTTGGGGTTCTCACATTTGCTGAAGTGGTCTCCTTGTGACTACTTAAGACAGCAATTTCATTACTTTGCTTAAATTATCTTTTTGAAGACTTTGACTCTACCTCTTAGAAAATCTGTATTACTTTATTAAATGATCAATTAAAAATTATGTTAGTATATGCAGTGAACATTCTATCTGAATTTCATGCCAAAAGTTTATTACTCCTTTAAACTTAACACTTGGAAAAATACATTTTACACTAAATTAGTTCTCTCTTGTGACTACAGAAAAAGAAAAGTTTTGAGATTCCTTCCCAACTTTCCCTAAAAGACAGCACTTTTCCATCTTTCATCTTCTTCTGCCTTTGAAGATAAAGCCACAGATAGTACAAGGCAGTGGTATGGCTGGTGCTCCCCAGGAGTGTATCTGTACTGCGGACCTACTGTGTGCTTCTGCTCCTTTCGGACCTGTGCTCCCGGACTCTCCCACCCCACCCAGCTTGTACCCAGCTGACTTTAGTGCTGCTTCTTCATAGCAGTTCTTAGCCAGGCCAAAGCTTTAGAGATTGTCCTTTTCTTGGCTCTTTAAATATATCTTATGCCCTCCCCTCCCCCTCATTCCTTTGCGCCATTTTAGCTCATCACTTGGCAGTTCTTTCATTGTCATCTGGTCACTTTCTTCTCTATACCGTGCACTATGGTGAGTTTTCAAAGAGCATCACTAAAATGTTTGCATATTGTGTATACCAGGAACCTTTTAGCAGTCTTACAGCTACAGTAGAAAGGTCTGAAAAGCAATTAGAAGTATGGATTTAACTTACTAATAGAGCAGAAAATAATTTCAAAATGTAATGGGGAAATGTAATTTTTAGAGAGGGGAAGAATTCTGTATCTCCTCTGGCTGCTGGAGGACACATACCTGGAGGTCTAGAGCTTGGTGTCCAGGAGGGCATCCCCTAGCCATGTGTGGCTACTGAGCACAGAGAAATGAGAGTAGTCTGGATTGGTAAAAGTGTAAATTACCAGATTTCAAAGACTCGATTGGAAGAATTATATAAAATAGCCACATTAATGATTTTGTACTATTTCTTTTACTCTGGTAATGGGGCTGCTAGAAAATGTGTAATTACAGAGGAGGTGGGGTTGAGAGGCTCAGAGCTCACATTTGGACAGTGCTGCTCTAGACTGTAAAAGTAGCACCACTGAGCTGATGATGTATCAGACCTGAGCTCAGTCTTAAATTTATTATCTCATTAAATCTTCACAGCCACGCCTGAAGCTGAATTACCATTCATATTTTACGGATGGAAGAAAGTGAGGCTGGGACATTAACTAGCTTAACAGGGCAACAGCTAGTAAGTGCAGAGCTGCAACAGACCCTGAGTCTGACTCTCCCAAAGTGGGCGCTGTTGACGAATCTGCTACATGTCCAGCTTACCTGGAGCTTAAGACGCTGCTCTTGTCTGCAAGTGCCTTGCACACATCCAAGATGTGTGCTTGCGTCAGGGCCCTGCCTTTATTCTGTGTGATTTCTTTCTGGTAACACGAACAGTAGAGGCCTTCACTCCGTAGAGGACTGCCCAGCACTTGTCTCATGGGGCCTCCAAGCCGACAGAAACCTAAGCAGGAGGCAGGGATCTGGTCGCTGTGTATGGTGCGGGAGGGGCTATGTGTGCCCTTGAAACAGACTTGGATTCATGAAACTTCATTTGCTGCATTCTCGTTGCTACTAGGTGAACACGTTTCCTTATGCAGAGCCTTCCCCTTCTCGTGAAATGGCCGTAAACCACCGGTGTGTTCTACCGGCAGTGGCACTTCTCCCCTCCCTTCTCTGCTAAAGCCAGGGCAGTGACTCCATGGAAGGACTCGGTTCTGATCTCATCAATTCCTCAGCATCATTGGACTCTGGAGTGGCCTCTCTGAGTCTCTTTTTCACCTCCGCCTGACCCTCAAATGTCCATATTCCCCCAGGATGCCTCACTCTGCACTGATGGTTTGTAACCTGGAGGTGGGGTTGAGAGGCTCAGAGACTCCTTTGAAAATTTAGCGAGAGCTTGGATCAGGGAAAATGCACGCTACATTGACAACATTTTGTGTGTAGTTTCACAATGTTCACAGTCTCCCTAAATCTTGTTCACAGACTCTCAGGTTCACAGATCCTAGGTTAAGGTCCCTGTGTTATCTCCCTGCGGTACCACTTCTACATTTTTTGTTTTGGTTTTGTTTGTTTGTTTGTTTGTTTGTTTTTTAGAGAGAGAGCATGAGTGGTGGTAGGCAGCAGGGGATGAGGGTTGCAATGGACAGAGGAAGAGGATGAGAGAATCCCAAGCAAGCTCTGTGCTCAGTGTGGACCCAGACACAATTCTATGACCATGACCCTGAGATCACCACCTGAGCCAAAATCAAGAGTCAGACGCCCACAACTGAGCCAGCCTGGAGGCTTCTGCTTCTACTTTTTAGGGTTAAACACCACCTATATGCCAGCCATGCTCAAAGCCATACTGCCAAGCCAGGCCTCTCACCTGCTTCGGCCTCAGTGTCCATTCCGTTAATGAGTGTTCCCATTCATATGACCCATAAGCTCATCAGTGTCACCTCCGTCCTCCTCACCACTCCCACGCCCGACCCTGCCTCTCATTCTCTGTTATAATCAGTGTCACTGCTTTTTTCCCCTTGTCACTACAGCCAGAAACCTGGAAGCCACACAGCTAGTCACCGAACCCATAGATTTTATGTCATTTGTTCCTTTGCCTAGAGCTTTTCCCTTACCAAGGTTCTGGTCTGTTAGGATGTGCCAGACATAAGCATTATATTTATGCTATTTCATTTAAACCTCACAAAAATCTGGGATGGTACGTGTTGTCGCCTTTCTTCTTATAAATAAGGAAACAAACGGGGAAGGTCATTTATATGGTTACTGTTATTTGAACCCAGGTCCAGATCTACTACTCCAACTCTGTTCTGAACCACTGGTTCTGGCCTTGTCTCCTGCCCTCCCCTAACTCTGAGCTTGATAGCTTACCTGGGCTTATCTTCTTCCCTGGTGAGCACCTGCAGGATAATTATGGATCTCTTCTTCCTGTTCACCTTCCTGAGCCCCTGTAAGCTGGTCTCCTCTCCTGACTCAAGTTCTCACTTGTCTGTGAGACAATATAGCCCAAGCACCATGCAGGTTCTCCAGCTTCCTTTCTGTCCTTTCGTCTCTAAAGTCAGCATAACAATTTAAAATTTGAAAGATGGACTTTAATATTAGCAACTATAAGATTATGAACCCAGGTTAACAAGTCTAGCAAACGATGGGGAAAGCAACAGTTATAATTTCAATTTTAGGAAGTCCCTATGGGACTCTGCAAGCACCTGGGGCTGAGTCTCACCTTCTCCTGCTCTTCAGGGCCAGGAGGAAATGTGATCAAGTCCCCACGCCCAAGTTTGTGTGTCAGAGCCCTATCTACATTCATTGTCCTGGCGT